AAAAAAAAAGTACAGCTCAAATCTGTTTATCTAATGAATCTGCTGTCTATTACTCAATAAAGTCCAAAATTTTTGGCCAAAATTTGAAGTTTTCATAAGCTGACCTCAAGTTACCTTAATTTTTTTCTCTTACAAAATCCCATTACACATTCCACACTTCAGCTGCATTGGTTGATCTGTTATACCCTACCTTTCCCTATCTGTACCATTTAATCTCTATTCTTGGATAAAAATGATCGCTGAAACTGAAAAAAAGATAAGCATGTTCTAAAGCTTTTATTTAAGGTTGTCTGTTTTCAGTAGAAACAGCTTCTCATTCCTCTGAGCTCTGGTGGTATTAGTTTTCCATATTATAGATAGCTCTATAGTCTCAAAGAAACATTGAGGATTTCAACTAAGAAAGCCTTACAGATGACTTGGCAAGTCATCTCTAAGTTAAGGTAGATGAGGTCCAGAGATAAGAAGAAACTTGTCTCAAGCTACAGGGTGAATGCGTTGTACAGTTACAATAGAACACCAGAGTACCCCTGTGTGAGTAGACACTTGGCAGGCAGAGTGCATAGCTTATTGATCATATCTGAACCTTCTCCCTTTTCTCTTCAAGTATCTGATTCAAAATTAGGGCTTGTCAAATGTCTGCTGGAGTAGATGGAGCTCTGATCGGGCAAGAAGGGAAATGGAAGGGAATCAGGAGCCTTTGTGGTCATGGATGACTCAGACTGCCAGGAAATGGTGGTGGGCACATTCTTTGTAGTTCTATCTTTACTAACTCATGTAGAGGATATCTTTTGATTAAAAGGAACTGATATTCAGAAATGTTGAATATTAATTTGTGGTCTTTACCAAGCAATCCATAAGGAATACTTTCCTCTGATACCCTGAAAATGAAAAAGAAAGCTGCAATTCAAAACTTATGATCTCCTAAGCAATATTTCAATGATTTGGCTAAAAAAGCACAGACATTTTTAAGTCAGTACGCAAGTAATGAAATTCAGATATGTGCAAAGAACCGAAGGGATAAATTGACAGAGTAGGAAAGATGCTCTGGTGTTTTAAGAAAATGATTTATCACTTATTTTATTGAGTGGCTTAATTAAGAAATGGACAGCAGCTGGGTGTTGGTGGCTCATGCCTGTAATCCTAGCTACTCAGGAGGCTGAGATCTGAGGATCATGGTTCAAAACCTGGCAGGAAAGTTCATGAGGCTCTCATCTCCAAGTAACCACCAGAAAACTGGAAGTGGCACTGTGGCTCAAGTGGTAGAGCGCTAGCCTTGAGCTGAAGAGCAGAAGGATAGCGCCCAGGCCCAGAATTTAAGCCCTATGACGAAGAAGAAGAAGAAGAAGAAGAAGAAGAAGAAGAAGAAGAAGAAGAAGAAGAAGAAGAAGAAGAAGAAGAAGAAGAAGAAGAAGAAGAAGAAGAAGAAGAAGAAGAAGAAGAAAGAAGAAGAAGAAGAAGAAGAAGAGGAGGAGGAGGGGGAGGAGGAGGAGGAGGAGGTGGAGAAGGAGGAGGAGGAACAGACAGACTTGGAGATTACACACAAGGCACTAAAAGGTCATTTTACATGAGAATGGAGATTCCACATGGAAATAACTTGTCCACACGTTTCTTGGGTTGCTTCAACTTAAACAGAGGGCTCAGATGTCTCACTGTGCCATTCCTTAAAGAAAAACAACAACTATTCCATCCTGTAATGTTTTCAGAGTGTCTGCTTTCAGTTCAAGGTCTTTGATCCATTTGGAGTTGATTCTGGTGCCGGGTGATATATAAGGATCTAGCTTTAGTTTTCTACATGTAGTTAACCAATTTTGCCAGCACCATTTACTGAAGAGGCTGTCTTTCTTCCGTTGTATTGTTTTAGCTCCCTTATCGAAGATTAGATGGCTATAGGTCTGTAGGTTCATTTCTGGGTTTTCAATTGTATTCCATTGGTCCTGAGGTCTGTTCTTATGCCAATACCAAGCTGTTTCGATTACTATGGCTTTATAGTAGAGTTTGAAATTTGGTATTGATATTCCTCCAGCAGTGTTCTTTCCATTGAGGAGTGTTTTTGCTATTCGGGGTCTTTTATTGTTCCATATGAATTTTTGGATTGCCTCTTCTATTTCCTTGAAGAATGAAGGTGGAATTTTGATAGGTATTGCGTTGAATTTGTAGATAGCCTTGGGAAGTATTGCCATTTTCACGATGTTAATCTTTCCAATCCAGGAGCATGGGAGGCTTTGCCATTTTTTAAGTTCTGTGTTGATTTCCTTTTTCAAGATTTTAAAGTTTTCATCATAGAGGTCCTTCACTTCTTTAGTTAAGTTAATTCCTAGGTATTTTATTTTTTGTGGGGCTATTACAAATGGAGTTGCTTTCCTAATTTCAGCCACACTTTTCTCATTGTTGGCATACAGAAAAGCCATTGATTTTTGGGGGTTAATTTTATAACCTGCTACTTTGCCAAAGTTTTGAATCAGCTTGAGTAATTTGGGAGTGGAGTCTATGGGATTCTTTAAATACAAGATCATGTCATCTGCAAAGAGGGAGAGTTTTATCTCCTTGGCTCAGGCCGAAATTTTCTGAATAGAGACCCGGAAACACAGCAAATTAAAGAAAGGTTGGACAAATGGGATTGCATAAAGTTGCAGAGCTTCTGCAGGGCAAATGACATAGCTAGCAAGATCAATAGAAAGCCCACGGATTGGGAGAAGATCTTTACTAGCCATACAACGGACAAGTGTCTCATACCTAAAATATACTTGGAACTCAAAAAATTAAACCACCCAACAACAAATCCTCAAAGAAACAACTGCCCAATAAATAAGTGGGCGAAAGACTTAAAGAGAAACTTCTCTGAAGAAGAAAGAAGGATGGCCAATAGACACATGAAGAAATGTTCAACATCCCTAGCCATAAAAGAAATGCAAATCAAAACAACATTGAGATATCACCTCACCCCAGTTAGAACGGCAAAAATCAAGAACTCTAACAACAACAGATGCTGGAGGGGATGTGGACAGAAAGGAACCTTACTTCATTGTTGGTGGGAATGTAAACTTGTTCAACCACTTTGGAAAGCAGTATGGAGGTTCCTCAAAAGACTTCACATAGAACTCCCCTATCACCCAGCAATCCCACTTTTGGGCATTTACCCAAATGTTTACAAACAAGACCACACTAAAGCTACCAGCACAACTATGTTTACTGCAGCATTATTTACCATAGCTAAGATATGAAACCAACCCAGATGCCCCTCAGTAGATGAATGGATCAAGAAAAAGTGGTATATATACACAATGGAATTCTATGCCTCCATCAGAAAGAATGACATTTCCCCATTTGTTAGGAAATGGAAAGGCTTGGAAAAAATTATATTAAGTGAAGTAAGCCAGGCCCAAAGAAACATAGGTCCCACGGTTTCCCTTATTTGCAATATCTAGTATATGTATGAGTCAAGCGGAAAAGGTCAGATAATGCGATGTTAGGAAAACGAACCCTTAAATATGTATTTTAATGTTTTTGTTTCTTTCATGCATGTGTTTCTAATGCATTTATAAGATTATTTCTTTGTTGCTTTGTATGTCCCTCCCCCACAGTGTAACCCCCACTTTCACTATATTTGATGTCAGTATAACTTGTGGAGGAGATGGGGACAAACAAGTCGTTTAAGGATTCAGGTGGACCTGTTGCAACAATGAGAAGTACAAAATGTCATGTCAAAAACGAGCTTTACAATGTCGTGTGGGGGGAGGGAGGGGGGGAAGGATTGGGTGGGGGGAGGGGGGAGGCTGGGAAGGGAGGTGAAGGGTAAACAAAGGAGGAGGCTGCAATGCTTGGTAAGAAATGTATGCATTATCCTGCCCATGTAATTGTAACCCCTCTGTACAGTATGTTCTCAAATAAAATAAAATAAAATTAAAAAAAAAAGAAAAGAAAAGAAAAACAACAACTTAAGCTCTGACTAAACTAATTTGAATTAACCCCTTTGAGAAAGTCTGGAAGGCCTTTGAGATTGGAGGACAGCAGGTAAGAACATAATGAAATTGGCTCTAGAGGTAGAAATGAAGTTTCATTTCACTTCCTGGTAGAAGTGGGTGTCTAGTAGAAGTGGGTATATGTACATTCTGGCCTTACCTGGTCTATACCAGGGCTTTACAACCCGGGACTTATTTGGGGTGAGAGTTTTTCTTCATGGGGGCTGTTCTGCTCACATTGCAGGTCACATTTCAGCCCCAGTGGCTCTTGTTGCCTATGTTGTCAGTGTCCCTCGTTAGTTGTGACAACAAAATATGTCTCTCACTATTGTTGCCCAAGTGTCAGAATTGCCCCTGCAATATAACTGTGAATCTATGCTAGAAATGACCAATTCTTAATAGAACAGTTGAGAAGCAGATAGTGGAAGCATCAGGGCTCACAGATTCAATGAAAGAAAAATTGCTCCAGGAAACGGAAATGAGTATTTTCCTTCTCTATTACTGTTTTTACTTTCTTTCTTTTTTCTGTCTTTCTTGTTCATTTATCTGTCTTTGGGAAGGTCGTGGGGAAGCACAGAAATGGAGGGAAAAGGGTGAACAAATGCAGCAGTTGGTACTCACTAGACACTGTGTTGAAAAGGAGCTATACAACTTGTGGGTGGGAACAGGAGGGAAAAACTGGGAGAGAGCTAAGGAAAGGGCAACATTGTCCAAAAAACATGCACTCGTTATCTGACTTAGGTAACTGTAACCTCTCTGTTCATCATCTATTTCTAGTATCAATAGAAAAAAAAAAGACAATTTCACCCCCTTCAAAATAAAGGACAAAATTGACAAAATCTAGAACAGACCGATTCATTGCCATTGCATATTTGCCAGGTAGATCCACATCATATTTTGCTCTTGTTTTAGACAGTAATTTTTTTACGCGATCATGTCCCGCACTGAGAACAGAAGCGGACCCCAATTGCATCTTGCTGACTCCCTCTGCCCTCACAGGACCCCAGCATCTTCCGCTTGTATGGCGGCGCCACTGCCAGGTCACACGTACTCATAGACCCAGGGGAGCACTTTCCTGAGGTCTGTGAAGATCCCTGGGGACCCCTGCCTTTTTTTCCGTCTATTATTTCTCCAGTTTCGACCACAGCCCAAACCCCAAGAAGTCACACCGACCAGAGTCCAGGTTCCTTTCTTATTCGGACACACGAGTGAACCTCCAGAGTCTCCCTACAGAGGTGGGGGTCGGGGAGAAAGAAAGAAAACCTTCATCACTATCATTACCAGTGTCTATGTCCCAACCAAGGTGCTCCAGTGGTCCCTCCCCCTCCCCCCCGCCCCCCCCCCCCGCCCCCAACAAGGATGCTGGATGAAGATCAATGGCAGGTCTCTCGGGTCTAAAAATCTAGTTTCAGAGGTCTGAAAGGACAAGCAAGCGCCATTCCTCTAGGAACCGCTACCACTGGGCCCTGCTAATCCCAGTTCCCTCTCCCCTAGCCTAAGCTACCAAATTTCTTCCCTTCCCAGTCTCGTGCTGTAGAATCAGAGCTAACTGGTCAGTGATCAAATTGACTAGCTCAGGTTTACAGTCAACAGGAAGAGTGGAGAGAAAGTTCCTACCATCCGCAAGCTAGAAAACTAAATAGAAAAAGAGCCAGGGGACTGGAACACCCCCATGACCTCACTCTTGGTGCTCTCTCTGCTGCTGTATAGTCTTTTTTTTTTTGCCGGGGTGGTGGGGGGAGAGTGGGAGAGAGAAGGGAATGGGGAACCTCCTCTGAAGTCGTACTTCACGCTTTAAACCCATTGTCCAAACGCTCCTTTTACTTGGACTTGACTTCCCCCACTTACTTCGGACCCTTCTTGCCACACTCGAGTGTTAGGTGGCCTCTCCACTTGCTAACAAACCCGCCAGCCAGGCTATTCCTACTGACCTGACACGCGTCTCGCCCTCCATCCGGAGAGCCCGTGCAGAGGAAGGTGTTGCCCGTAATGGGCTTCTGCAGGGTCAGCAGAGCAGCGGTGCACTCCTTCTGGGGCAAGATCGTCAAGTTTACCTCATGCAAGACTTGTGGGAAATTGCCACCTGGAAGACAGGGATGCGCATCCGGGAGCACCCTCAGTTTACCTATTCTGAGATGGAGATGCTCCCATTTATCCTCACCAGCTGCACAAAGTTTTGTGTCTTTTGGGAAAGATCTATATTTCTTTGTGTGTGTGAGTGTGGGGGGGGGGGAAACAGATAACAATGCTATGCCTTTATTGATAGATGATAAGTGTACATTTCTAGGAAGCACAATGTACTATGGGATTTATTTATACATTTATTTATTTGTTGATTGTGGGGCTTGAACTCAGGATTTGGGCACTGTCACTGTGATTATTTTGCTCAAGGATAGTGTGCTACCACATTGAGCCACAGCTCTGCTTCTGATTTTTAGGTGGCTAATTGGAGATTAAAGTCTCATAGACTTTCCTGCTGGCACTAGCTTTGAACTGTGGATCCTCAGATCTCAGCTGCCTCAGTAGCTAGGATTACAGATGTGAGCCACCAGCACCTGGTCAAGGTGATGTTTTGATACACTTACACATCATGCATGGATCAACTCATGCATGGATACTTCAGGCTATCCATCATTTCAGCATTTACCATTTCTTTGTGAAGAGAACATCCAAAATCTCCCTCCAAACTACTTGGAATTAAATACTGTATAACCACTGCTTGTATAGTAGAACCCTGAAACATCTTCCTCCTATCTGACTGGAAAGACCTACATTTCTAAGAACAGTGTGACATACTCTACCTTTCAAAATATGTGCACAGCTATTTTTTTTAAGTTAAAAATTCCAATTTCTGAATACCTGTCAGAAAGTTCTGTTAAAAGGAATGGCACAGGAGTTCTTACCTTCTGTCAAGCGACCCCAGCCTGTAGTTGTACAAGTAAATCCAGCCTTAAATTTCTCCCCTGGCTCCGGAAGACACATGGGCCCCACAAACTGGCCTGAAGGAAGATCAGGGCAGGACTTGTCTCAGGTATGGAGGAGTCACAGAACAACCCCCCCCCCCCCCAGTTGACCCCAACGACATTTGGCTGGCAACTCTAGTGGTCACCCAGAGCCCTCTCTCCAGACTCCACATAATCCTCTACCCAGAAACACAAGCAAATGGAGTTTCAGGTAGGGGACCTGCCAGCTCAAATCCATGAATCAGGGTGCATGTTCTAAACAACTGCATATGTGCTATGCAACATGCACTGCAGGGGAGGTTCTGTGGGTCAAAGGCTATGGAGAATATGAAGTATTCATATGAAGTAGACAATTCAAGGTGCACCTTAAATGTTTACCAAATTGGAAGGTTCCAGCCATTTTCAGAAGAGCTATATCATAGTCCATTGGTTTCCTGATGGAGAACTGTGGGTGAATGATGGCGGTTGCAATGGCCAAGGTTTGCTCTCCGGGATCTGTCTGACTCAAGTCATATTCTCCGGCAGTCACATTTAGAGTTGATATGATGCTTCTGTGAAGTGGGGTCAGTGAAATGAGGGATATCAATCAGCCTCTGAATACCATTGTGAATGTTGACATGGTTCTCTTCCAAAGGACATGGATGGATAATGTGGGGTGTGAGGCTACTGAGCAGAGAAAGTGCAAATGATCCAATACCATTTGGAAAAGTGCAGATTTCTAATTCCTGCTGAGGACAAGGAAAGTGTGGAGCTAATGACTGGATAAATTTAACAGTTTGCAGTGTTATTTGTAATCATCTGGAAAGGTTACTGTACTCCACGATCCTAACAGCTAAAGGAGATGTTATTAAACTAGCCCCCAGAAGTTGGCCAAGTCATAATAACAGTAATGGTTTATGACGGGAAATGATACGTGATTCTCAGTAAGTCTGCTGCTTTAAGGTCAAAGTGCTATGAAGAACAGCAGCTGCAAACTTGTCCCAGGAGCGTAAATACATACTCAGGGATTTGACACCGATGCCAACTATGGAACATTAGAATCTTCTCTTTACCATTTTTATGTTTGCAATTTAGAAATATTACATGACATGGGAAAGACATGGCCCTCCCGGGCCATTGTTATCTCTTCTTTTTGTTTTATATTTTCTTTTCTTTTTTTTTGGGGGGGGGGTCCGGTCGTGGGGTCTGAACTCTGGGCCTGAGCACTGTCCCTCAGCTCTTCAGTTCAAGGTTAGCACTCTACCACTTGAGCCACAGCGCCACTTCCGGCTTTTTTCTTTTTGCTTATGTGGTGCTGAGGAATCAAACCCAGGACCTCAGGCATGCAAGGCAAGCACTCTACCACTGAGCCATTTTCCCAGCCCTTGTTTTATATTTTCTATTAGTGTGTATTGATTGTACAGAGGGGTTTCATTGGGATACTTCCACACATGCATCTAGTGATCTTTGGTCAAATCCACCTCCTCTATTACTCTTTCTCATCATCCCTCTCACCACACAATGTGAACAGGTTTCATTATTCTATTTTCACACATGTAATTTGGTAGGATGTGTTAAGATGGATTAAGAGCTTTAAACTTGCTCTTGATTTCTAGGCATGAAAGTTCTATATAAAATTGGAAGGAGCATCATTTGTCTTGGTATACTTTTTTGAAACTTGGTTATGATAGGTACCTAGCCTAATACATTAAATCACTCTAGTCTACATCTGTTATTTTACAATGACATTGTCAACCAATCCCTTCCTCCCTCCCTCTCTCCCTCCCTTCCTGAGTTTTTGCTGTCTTTTCTCTCTCTTTCCTTCCTTCCTTCCTTCTTTCCTTCCTTCCTTCCTTCCTTCCTTCCTTCCTTCCTTCCTTCCTTCCTTCCTTCCTTCCTTCCTTCCTTCCTTCCTTCCTCTCTCCCTCCTTTTTGTCCCCCCCTTCTGTCAGTCCTGGGGCTTGAACTATTGGCCTGGGTGCTGACCCTGAGCTTTTGTGCTGAAGGATAGTGCTCTACCACTTAAGCCAAATCTTCACTTCCAGTCTTTTGTGGTTTATTGGCGATAAGTTAGAAAAAAGGATCTCAGGGATTTTCCTGCCCTGACTGGCTTTGAACCATGATCCTTAGATCTCAGCCTCCTGAGTAGCTAGGATTACAGGCATTCTACTTGTTCACCTATTTAAGAGACAACATCTCATTATTTTTCAAGTGCTGGCCTGAAACTACTGGACCTGAGCAATTTTCCTGCTTTTGCCTTCAAAGCAGATGGGGTGACAGTTCACTATACCCAGTGAACTTTCATTTTAAACTATCAACTTTCTGGGGGTATAAATCATGTCTTAGTCATGTGGAAGGTCTTTACCACCCAATATCTGGTACTAAATAATTATTTAAAGAATATCTTTAGACTTGGAAGAAAAAAATAGGGCAACAAATCCTCAGTCATAGCTTGGTGTATCACAAAAGTAGATAAAGGATGGAATTTGGTAAGTTGAACCTTAGATCATTATGAGTAAGAATGAATATGTCAGGGCCTATTATATTTCACAACTCTGCTTTATTTTCTTTTATACACTTTTGTGCTGGTAATGAGGCTTGAACTCAGGGCCTTACATTCTTGTTTAGCTTTTTTCCTCACTACTGACACTCTACCACTTGAGTCATGCCTCAACTTCTGGCTGGATAACTGAAGATGAGTCCCTCTGATTAGTCTGCCTGAACTGGCTCCAAACTGCTATTATGTCTAGATCTCAGCTTCTTGAGTAGCTAGAAGTATAGGCTTGAGCTTTTCTGTCTCGTAAGATATACAGTACCTGGGCACTGGTGGCTCATGCCTGTAATCCTGGCTACCCAGGAAGCTGAGATCTGAAGATTGTGGTTCAAAGCCAGAGCAGCAGGAAAATCATGAGACTCTTATCTCCAATTAGCCACCAGAAAATGGGAAGTGGTGCTGTGACTCACCACCTAGGCCCTGTGGCTCAAAGTGATAGAAAGCTAGCTTAGGGACAGCGCCCAGGCCGTGAGTTCAAGTCCCATGACTTGGTGGGGGGTGGGGAGAGAGGCTATACAGCAAATAGGATACATTTCCACTGAAACTTATGAAATGGAGTGAAAAGTTTCATAAACCAAATTGTGATGTTTTCAATATCCAGGTGTCCCCATGTGGATATCAGTCTTCTTTTAACTTCAATTATTTAAAAATAAATATTTTACTTCTGCCAAGAATATATATATATATTTTGACAATGTTGAGAATAATATGACCATGTCACCAGCCCCCACTCAGTCATACAATTGAGATCTTCCTCCATGTCTGTATCGAGCTACTCCTGGGGCTTCCAAGGGAAAGAAAGAGACCAGCTGCTCCTTCCTTACCTGTGTGCAATGCAGTGAGCAGCTGTGACTACCCACTGTGGAGAGATGATGGTTCCTCCACAGATGTGTTTGTGCCTTTGTTTCAGAGATACCTGGATTGCAAAGACCATACGTTAGTGCAAGTTAATGCCCTAGGATCAGACCCCTTTAGTTTACCTCTATTTTATCATGATTTATGGAATATGGCAAGGAAAACTTGCACAATGAAGCTCAGAAGGAAGAGCAATGCTGGAGGTAGCATTCCTAGCCTTGGAAGGAGGTGAGATTGTCAAGTAGACATGCCATAATGATTGCAGTAGAGTTAACAGTTAGATGCCTTGATATCTGTTTTGATAATAATATTGACTTCTATCTGTGGCTCTGATGATATGAACAATATCTGTGAGTGAAGAAAAAGGAACAGGAACTACATCAGAGTCCAGCTGAAGAGATTTGGAGAGAAAGTAAGGAATGAGATAGCAATGCTTCAATCCAGGCTCCTTTTCCCCCAAATCTCTTTAAAAAAATAGGTTTTTACCTGCCATTAAAAAAATAAATACCTTATTTTTGTATTAATATATGTTAATAATACAAGGTAATTTCACTGAGATAACTCCAAAGATATGTACAGGGTACTGCGAACAAGCTCACTTCCTCCATTATAGTCCCATAATTCCTCACTTCCTCCATTATAGTCCCATAATTCCTCCCTCCTCTTCCCCTCTTCGAACAGTGTTTTGTGGGACTTGCCATGCTAACTTCATATATGTTACATACATATATGTTATATACTTTGATCTTATTCACCCCTCACTATCCTTTCTATTTCTTTCTCCCTCCTGATTTCCTCATACAGTCCCCCTTCTTACATTCCTGTTCCATTATCATCATTGCCATCATCGTCATCATTACTAGAATCATTTCTAAATTTTCCAGTTTATTTGGATACAGATTTTCAAAATAATAGCCCTTTGTATGCTTTAGAATTTCATTGATATTTGTTTTGATATCCCCATTTTCATTTCTAATTTTATTGAGTCTTTCCCCTCTTCTTTGTCAGATGGGTTGAGGGTTTGTCAATCTTATCTGTCTTTTCAAATAAGCAACTTTTTGCTTCGTTTATTCATTCTGTAGTTTTTCTCTCTATTTCATTGATTTCTGCTCTAATTTTTCATTATTTCTTTGCAACACATTTATGCTAGTAATTGTTATTTCTGCTTGATGTATTCTTTATTACTATGAAGTGACCTTTGTCTCTTCTGACTTTGATTTGAAGTCTGCTTTATAAGATATAAGTAAAGCTATTACCTGCTTTGGGGTTCATTTGCCCAGAAGATATTTTCCTTCTTTTTATCCCAAGTCAATGTGTTTGCCTTTTTATTTCTTTGTTTTTTTTTTCTTTCTAACACTGGAGTTTGAACTCAAGGCTTCATGTTAGCTGACTGACAACTTAAGCCAGATCTCTAGCTTTTTGCTGGTTATACTAGGGATAAAACCTTCTGGACATTTCTGCCTGAACTGGCTTTGAACCATCATCCTTTGGAGCTCAGCCTCCTGAGTAGCTGGTATTACAAGCATAAGCTCTGGCACCTGTTGAGATTTGTTTCTCAACAGATAGGTCACAACTGGTCAAGTCTTGATTTTTAATCCTGTTCACCATTCTATGCCTTTTGTTTTCTGATTGTGGGGCTTGAACTCTGCCCCTGAGCCTGTCTGTGCTTACTTGAGCCACAGCACCACTTCTGGCTTTTTCTGAGTAGTTTATTGAGGTAAGAGTCTCATGGACTTTCCTGCCCTGGCTAGCTTCAAACCATGAACCTCAGATTTTAGCCTCCTGAGTAGCTAGGATTATAGATATGAGCCACAGCGCTCAGTTCTTTCTATGACTTTTGATTAAGGAATGAGATCATTAACAATCAAGGTTAATAGTGAAATGTCAGTAATTTAGTTACTAATCTACTCACTTTGTAAGGATTGTTCTTTTTAGCATTTTCCTGGTTGCATCTACCTGCCTCAGCTGGGCATAATATTCCTTGAAGTATCTTCTGCAGTGCCTCTTTGTTGTCATAAATTGCTTTTGCTTTTGTATACCTTGGAAGGCTTTCATGTCTGCTTTAGTTATTAAGGATAGTTTTGATGGATACACTATCTAGGTTGCCAGCACTTAAAGTCTGTGTTGAGAAAATCTGTTATTCTGAAGGATTTTTTTTTTTTACGTGACTTGTTGCTTCTCTTCTCAGCATTCAACCTTCTTTCTTTGTCCTCTATATTTAGTGCTTTGATTTTAATATGATTACGGGCGTTTCTTGTCTGATTATGTTTGCTTGTGTTCTGAAATCTTCCTGTGCCTGGGTGGCACTTATAAGTTTTCTGTACTCTCTTATCCTTCTTCTATATCTATAATTTATAGGTTTAAACTTTTGATGATATACCAGAGGTGTTAAAATAAATGTAAATACCATGGGGGTAGGGCCAGAGACATTTCCTTGGGATGGAAATTCCATGCCAAAGGAAATTCCATGCCAAGACATTAATTTGAGGCAGAATTTCTAGGATATTAGCTATTAATTATGTAGCCCATTTTTGCTGGGTCCTATGGAATATGTGCAAACCTTACACCACAAACACAAAGTACATTCAGGGATGTGAATTCTCTGGTCTTTTTTTTCTTAACTATAAAAAGAAAATATAGTATATTTTAAAATATACTTTGAATCAAAATGCTTTATTTATTTATTTATTTGTTGGTTATGGATTTGAACTCGGGGCTTGGGCACTGTCCCTGAGCTCTTTATTCTCAAGGCTAGTACTCCACCTCTTTGAGCCACAGTCCCACTTCTAGTTTTCTGGTGGTTAATTAGAGAGAAGAACCTCGTGGACTTTCCTGTCCAGGCTGGCTTTGAACCACAATCTTCAGATCTCAGCCTCCTGAGTAGCTAAGATCACTGGGGTGAGTCACCAGCCAAATGTCACTTTTTTAAATAATAAATTAAAAATATTTTCAGCTTTTTGGAATGATATTTCTATCTTAGGAATTGAAAGCTTGCAATAACACTTCCAGTTTGTAATACAAGCCAATAACTAATGTTGGCTGTTTCAATCATCTTTTCTGGAACTTAATTGTTGTACATCATGAGATAATCAAAACATTTTATGTACTAATGAGATGATTTCTGAAGACATAAGTAGAATGGAGTCCTAATTAGTAGCTTGTGACTTGTGTAGAATTAGTTCTTTGTTTGGGTGGTTAGTTTTTTTATTGTTATTTCAAAGATGATGTACAGAGGGGTTACCATTTTGTAAGTCATTTAATGAGTACATTTCTTTTTGGGTAATGTCATCCTTCCTTCACTCTCTCCTAGTTTTTCCCTCCCACCCCTACTCACAAGTTGTATAGTTCATTTTCAACATAGTGTCTAATGAGTACCACTGCTGCATTTGTTCACTTTTTGTCCTTTCATTTCTGTGCTTTCCTATCCTTCCCCTCCCCATAGAAAGATAACCCAATTCTGAGACCTCTCCTAGCCCACCTACTGCAGAGACTCACCTGCCAGGGATAGGAACCCTTCTCCACTTGGCTTCCTCCAACAATGCGACTGAAAAGGTTATAGTAATTCCAAGGCTGTGTTTTATCCAGACTCTGACCACAATTAGGAGCTGGGATGATGATCAAGACAACATCAATAAGTAGCTAGTTTCTAGGACTAAGAGACATGGGAACTCTGAGCAAAGTAAAGAAAAAAAGTACTGCAAGTTGTAGAGAATATAGAATAATCACAAAATGGGTTGAATTCATGAAAACTTTTGGAGGTTTGTTTTACATAAGATTTCTTAGTTTTTGTCATGTAAAAGAGGCATATCATAGTGAGGAGGAAAAGTGAGAGAAAACAATGTTTGACATGAAATGTATTCATTATCTTACTTATGTAACTGTAACCCCTCTGTACATCACCCTTACAGTAAGATAAAATTAAATAAAAAAGAGAGTTTTCTGTTATGAAAGATAAGAGCTTAGGGGTAGAGTTGGCACTATTACCTCAATTGCAAAGGCTTCTATGATTTCTTCAAACTGGGTCGAATAAAACTCTTCCACGCTCTCTTCTCCTATTGTTCTTACCACACTTGCCTATGCTAGTCGATCATTTATCTCTACCATCAAGCTGTGAATTCCTTGAATAATAAAACCCATGTCTTTATGAATTTCTGTATTTCTAAGGTTTAGAGCTATTCCTGGCATACACTAGGCACTTAATGTCTAGTACATCTCACTGTTGCAATGGGTCAAACTGTATCCTTATTTAAACAATTTGTTTTTTCCCTTCCACTCCCCAAATTATACCAACATCAAATACAGTATAAACAGGGGTTATACCATGGAGGAGGGACATACAACACAACAATGCTTGATAAGAAATGTACTTATTACCTTGCTCATGTGATTGTAACCCTTCTGTACAGTATTTTCACAATAAAAAACTTATTCTTAAAAAAGAACAAAAGTTCAAGGACATTGCTCAGGCTCTGAGATCAAGCCCCAATACCAACACACACACACACACACACACACACACACACACACACACACACTACAATTAGCTGCCCCAAACAGACAAGTTTTCCTCCTTTTCTCCAAGGAATAGAGGGGAATTGTGATTTCCTTCTCAGCAAAGATGCGTCCATCAGGCAAAGTAGTTATAAAGTTCATTTAGACTTACCTTTGGGAAGAGAAAGAGCTTCAGATTTGTCTTGTTCCCAAAAAATAAATCCTAGTAGTAAGATCAGCTGGTTCCTGCTTCTAGACATTTTGGGATCCAAAGTTTCCTCCTGAAATTTTAGAGAGTCTAAGGAGGAAAGAAAATACAAGGCCTGGGGAGATCAACAATACACCAAATAAAAAAAAAGTTCATTCATTAGCCAAGACTTGAGCCATTCAACCATGTCCTATGATATTTCTGAATGTGATTTCTTAAAAATACCTTTTGTAAGATGTGGAGTCAAGCCCAGAAGAAAATTTTTGATCAAGCCACATAACAAATCCCATTCCACCTACATCAGTCAGTTACTTTGGCCAGTGTTTCTGATCAGCAAAGTGGTTGGTGTCTACGATTTTCATTTGCAAATATTACTTCTCCCTTTGTAGAGGTTAATACTTGCTATACAAGAATTGGAAAGCAATGCTGTCCTTGTTTGCAAGGATTGTTTTACTTGTTTGCAAACATCATATTATATTAAAACATTTTTTTTCTCTTCTTTTCTGACTGTAACTACATGATTGTTATGCCATATGCTGGAGAAGGAAAAGAGAGGGAAGATAATTAGCTAGCATGCCCACGAAGTCATGCTAGCATGCTGTCATTTAGGATGTTCTCCATTGGGGTGTTTATGAGTCTGTCTTCCCACCCTTCTAAATGGCAAACATTAAATCTTCATTTCTCTAACTGGCATTTGTCTAGGCACAAGAAAGTGGCTATGATTTCTTGTAACTCTTCTCTTTTTTCCTGACACAGCATTAGTGTATAAGAAAAGCACATGGATTGGCCATTGCCCTATAACCATATTAAACATGAGATTTTCCTGGCAAATATCTCCAAATTACCTGCTCACAAAATCAAATGTCAAACTAGAAGTCTCCAGCTTCCCTATGGAAATTTTGATTTTTACAAAACAAATCTATAAAAAAAGAAGACATAAAAATAATAAATGAAACACTAAACACCTTTAAAACTTAGTTTGCATGTGGGGACCAGTGTCTCACACCTTTTACTGTAGTTACACAGGAGGCTGAGATCTGAGGATTACTGTTTAAAGTCAGCCTCCACAGGAAAGTCTATGAGACTCTTATCTCCAATTAACCACCAAAAAGCCAGAATTAGAGCTGTGTCTGAATGAAGTGGTAGAGCACTAGTCTTGGGTGTAAAAAGGTCAGTGACAGTACCCAGATGCTGAGTTCAAGCTCCAGGAGTGGCACGCATGCATACATACATATATATGTGTGTGCGTGTGCAAGTACTGCATGTTTTGAGAACACTTACAGAAAGCAGGAAAAACAATCTCAACTGAAGCCTTCCCCCTTAAACATGTTAGTACAGATGCCAAACATTTGAGGCTGTTAATTTGAGGGTGATGTGAACTTCAAGAAGTATGTAATTTATCAATATCTAAGCCCTTAACAAAATATCTTTCTTAGACAGAAAATCTTCTTGAACTTCTTATCATCTTATTTGAATCAGTCTGCAAAACAACTAGTAGCTTTACTGGCTCCAAAATTCACTATAACCTGTGTAAATTTTGAGTATTCCTAATACCATGAGTGCTAGAAGAGAGAGCATAGTTCTGGGATGTGCCTAGGTTAATTAGCCTGAAGTATACTTTGAAGCTCATTTAAAGCTTTTGATCTGCTGTTGATCTAGTATCATAAATTCTAAATAAAAAACGCAGCATCTTCTCTTGTCACAGTGAGATATTTTTTCCATTTCCTGGAGTTCAGTTCAATAAATATTATTGTATATGATCAGATAGACATAAGTATTGCACCTTTGTGTTCCTCTCCTAAGAATATCCTTCTTTGGCCCCACTGTTGTGAATGCCTAGAGATTTCATATACCAGTGTATTTATTTTTGCCATCCAGTGTGTTTATAGATTTATAGGCACATTCTAGCTACCACACATGAGGGGAAACATGCAATCTATGTTTCTTTGGGTCTGGTTTACTTCACTTGATATAATTTTGTCCAAGTCTTTCCATTTCCTTGCTAATTCTACAATATCATTCTTTCTGATGAATGAGTAGAATTCCATTGTGTATATATACCACATTTTCTTGATTCATCCTTACACTGAGGGGCTTCTGGGCTGATTCTATGTATTAATTATCTCATAGAAATATGAGGAAATCTTGCTCATCCCATAACTCCCAAGAGAAAACCTTTGCTTCATGCTCGTGTTTGAACATATTCAACACACATCTTCATGTGGTTGTCAGTAGGCATCAATATCTTCAAGCACAACATAAAGAAGGGCATCAAGAATCCTATAAAATGATATGTATTCAAATGTTTTTTTCTTTCATGCATTTGTTTCTAACGTATTTATAAGATTATTTCTTTGTTGCTTTGTATGTCCCTCCCCCACAGTATAACCCCTGCTTTCACTGTATTTGATGTTGGTATAATTTGTGGAGGGGAAGGGGAAAAACAAGAATAAATAAGTTTAAATAAGAATAGAGGTGGACCTGTTGCAACAATGAGAAGTACAAGTTGTCATGTTGAAAACGAACTTTACAACTTTGGTGTGTGTGTGGGGGGAGGATTGGGGGGGGGGGTGGGGGAGACTGGGAAGGGATGGGAAGGGGAAACAAAGGAGGAGGCTACAATGCTTGATAAGAAATGTACTCATTATCTTGCCCATCTAATTGTAACCCCTCTGTACAGTATTTTCACAATAAAAAATAAATAAAAATTAAAAAAAAGAATCCTATAAAATTTAAGAAAATTGTGTGTGTGTGTGGGGGGAAGAATTGGGAGGGAATTGGAAGAATAAAAAAAGGGATGAAATTGATCGAGATGAATTAGGTTCATAAACTGATTTGTTGAATAGTAACTTCTTTGTAAAACGACTACCAGGTCATAAGATGAGAAGAGTTTGGTATTCTTATCTCTTGAGATGGTAGACTGTGGTCTCTGGACCCATTGCAACAATGAGATGTACAAGACGTTATGTCGAAAAATGAGCTTTACAACTTTGGTGGGGGGTGGGGGGGGGCTGAACAGGGAGATGGGAAATGATGGAATGATGGGAAGGGGAAACAAAGGAGGAGGCTGCAATGCTTGATAAGAGATGTACTCATTACCTTGCTCATGTAATTGTAACCCCCTCTGTACAGTATTTTCACAATAAAATTTTTTTAAAAAATTGTGGAGGGGAAGGGCAAGAACAAATTGTTTAAATAGGGATACAGATGGACACATTGCAACAATGAGATGTACAAGTCGTTGAAAAAGGAACTTTACAATTTTGGCCAGGCAGGGGGAGATCGGGGAGCCGGGAGGGAGGGGGAGGGGGGAGATGGGAAGGGATGGGAAGGAACAATGCTTGATAAGAAATGTACTCATTACCTTGCTCATGTAATTGTAACCCTTCTGTACGGTATTTTCATACACACAAAAATTCAAATTAAAAAAAAAAGAAAAAAAAACATTCTTTTGTGAGCATGTGTTAGGTTCCAAGTTATTAAGTTTCCAGTTGGTCACCTATCGAAGCCTTCCAGAATCTCAGGGGCAATAAATTGTGTGTTGTAGGCACTTGGAAGAAGGAATATGTTTTTTACATGAGACTGCAGAAACTTTTTTCAGGGAGGAAGGAAGGTAAAAATCTCTCTTTGGAATGTTGTACCGAAGATTATAGCATATATACTGTATATACAAGTATACTGTTCTATTATTATCTGAAAATCTCCAAGTTGAGAAAATTATTATCAAGATTTATCTGGAACCAGTGATTCAGGAAGCTGGTGGCAGAAGAAAGCACAAGCACATCTATCATAAAGCAGATGCATATCATCAAGGATTCCAAATAACAGTATGATTTCATAGACATTTTAAGAAAAAAGCTTGAAATAATAGATCACAGAGGCTTTAAAGGGAAAAAGATGTTCTATAAATAAAAATGTGTTCTCTAAAAATAACAGGTTATACGGTAGAATACGTGTAACTGATGAGATTGCTGAAGACGTAGAGGTTGGGGTCACAGAAATCACCCAGAATGTCAATGGGGGACAGCTTGTACAGTGAAAGAAGTTCTGAGATATGCAGGATAGACGGAGAAAGGCTGGCATACATGTATAGGAATGACAAAAGGCAATTATAGAAAGAATAGAGGATATTCAATATTTTGAAAAATGATGGGCCAACTAAAATGTCATATAAAATATAAACTTAGAAAGAATAGTACTATGAACCTCCACATGCACATCACTTGGCTCTAACAGTTACTCAGTTAGCCCATCTTAGTTCTTTTCCAAAGCTCTCATTCACTACTCCCCAGTCATAAAAAATAACAAATCTTTAATCATAAATTATATCATTTATAAATGACTCAGAATATATCTCTTAAAGTTGAAAACTCACAAAAACATAACCACAGTAATATTATTAAATGAATTTTTAAAATCATTTTAAAGCATCAGATACTAAGAGATTTTTTTCTGATTACCCTACAACTTTCTTTACAATTGGCCTTCTACTATTTATTTGGGCAGGTTTTTCTTTTCTATTTTGTTGTTGTTGTTGTTGTAGGAAGCATTCAGCCCTCTGGAAATGTTTATATTTACTATTGTTCTAATTACAGAGCTGTGGCTTTGATGTATTCTTGTACTCCTGTGTGACTCTGTATTAATAGGTAGATGGAGATGGAAGTTTGATCAGATTGTGGTTAGATTTTCATTAAGAAATTTGAGAACAGGGTGCAACGTTCCTGTTCAATTTGACCATTATGCATATAAGGTCTGCTTGTCCTCTGTATGATTTTAAATTAAGCAAGATCAGATGTTGTCAACCTTAGCATAAAATCCCTTGTGTTTTCTCACTTAATGATTTTAAACAGGCCTTGATCTTCATTGTTTATATCCTGTACTTGAGTAATTTTTAACAAAATGATGATACTATAATTCCTTCCATATTTATCAACAGGAATTTGTTAGCATTCCCATTTTTACACATTTTTGGACCTAGCATTTTCTCGTCTTTGTGCACAATAAGGCAATAATAGGGGTATAGTTAAATAAATAGGAACAGACAGGCCCAGAAAACCAGCTCCTGGACTGTCTATTTGAAAGTACATCTTGTCCTTTCTGCGGAACTGGAGGTGGCAGAGGTAGACATTGATGGCACTCACACAAGACTGACTGATCATCAGAAGTACATAGTTAAGCAAGCAACAAGAAACAGCTAACTACCGAGGACAAAGCACTACATGAATGAGAGCTGCCAAATGTCATCAGATGATCTGACAACCAGAGAAATACTGTCTATAACACAAGAATAAAAACCTTTAGAATGAGGAAAATTAATGTTCTCAGAAGGATATGAGAAAGTATTGTGTGAATAAAGTCAAGGTCAGATACTTGAACATAAAAAATGTTATAGTTGTAGAAGTGGCGCTGTGGCTCAAGTGGTAGAGCGCTTGTCTTGAGCTGAAGAGCGCAAGGACAGTGCCCAGGCCCAGAGTTCAAACCCCACAACTGACAAAAAGAAAGAAAGAAAGAAAGAAAATGTTATAGTTGAAATAAAAACAAAAAGCAAATCTTCAATGAATGGATTTGGTATCAAAATGAACACAAGGGTTTTCGGTAAGTTGGGAACAAAAGGTCAATCAGAGGAAAGACAGGGGAATCATAAATATGAAGAAAGTCAAGTGTCTATTGAGATTCCCAAGAGAGTGAAAACAGCAGAATGTAGGTAAAGAAGCAATAACTGAAGAGGCAATAACCAATGAAATAATTGAAGAAAAATTTCAGTGCTCAGAGAGACAAAGGTCTTTAAATAGATAGGCAAAAAGCACTATTTCCCAAATTCTGTAATTAAGTTTTAAAACAAAGACTGTGGCGACTATAATAAACATACATAAATAATAATTGTCCACAGAGGATCAGAACACTGACACCTGATAAAAATATGGTTTCACTAGAAGCAGAAAGATAAGGAAGTGATTCTTTTCAGCCCTGGGGTGGGAAATAATAGTGCACATGGAATTCTACATCCAGAAAATGCATGATTCAAACAGGAGAGAAAAATGAAGACATCTTCATATCATAGACGCACTCAGAAAGCTTATTACTCAGAAAGCTCACTTCTCCAGATGAAGAAAGACACCAGATGTTAGAGAAAGCACAAGAAACAATGCAAGTTTGTCTCCAGGCAGAATTCTCGACACTAGCCAGCCATGGAATAGGAAGGAGGGTGTAGTGATGTTCAGATTAAGCCCCCCCCCCATTAGCTCCATTGAAAAGTGGCAGAATAGGTTGGTGCTATATTTTTATTAGTGTTTATGTGAAGTATAGTAAGCATTTCCCAAAGTTTTCCTGTTCTGCTAAAATGATCATTTTCTGGCTAGGAAGCAATTCTTGTTTTCTATGTCTGCAAATGCGTTAGCTGCTCTGCTTGGTCCTTTCAGCTGGAAACCAAAGGAAATACAAAAGACCCAAGTCCTGAAGTCCGTATGAAGGTCATCTTCCCTGCACTTTTCATAATCTCTGTATACTTGGGTGTTGTGCTTCATCAAGTAACACATGCACATACATACACACACACACACACCCCTACACATGCACACACATCTGTCTTTATACATATACACATACATATGAATAAATGCACATAAATATATATATATATATACATATGTACAGAGAGAGACAAAGATAGGGTTCTTTCAAGGAACTATATTATGTAATTGTTGGGCTATCGGTTCAAAATTCACAGGCAGGTGAGCAAATTGAAAATAAAGGCAAAGCTGGGTGCCAGCGGCTTGCACCTGTAATCTTAGCTACTCAGGAGACTGAGATCTGAGGATTATGATTCGAAGTCAGCCAGGGAAGGAAAGTCCATGAAACTTGTATCTCCACTTAATTGTTATAAAGCTTTGGAAGCAGAGATGTGACTGAAGTGGTACAGCATTAGCCTGTAGCAAAACAGCTCAGGAGGAGTACCCAGACCCTGAGTTCAAGCCCTAGCACTGGCACATAAACACAAAAATATTGTCAAGAATTGTTCGTTCTAGAGTCCAAAGCCAGTCTGGAGGCAGAAGTTCTTTCTCCTTAGAGGACCCCAGTCTTTTAAGGTTTCTAGATTATTGGAGAAGGTCCATCTATAGTATGAAGAATAATGTGATTTAGTCATTGCCTACCAATTTAATTCTTATGCCATAAAAGTACCATCAGGGGCACTAGTGGAGTGGTATTAGAAAAACTGTTAGACACCACAGACTTTGTCAAGCTAACATGAAATTAATCATTTCAGGAGTACAACTTGTTGTGCACTGAATCTGAAAGGGCAGTCATCTTGAAATATAAGCATGGACAGTGAAAATGGACAGAGATAGTAGATAAAAAGTTGGCTTAGAATGTACAGATTTTTTGATGAAATGAGTACAGAGGGGAACATATTAATCACTGTCATGTTTCTAATCAATAAACTAATTGAATGATGGTACCCTTCTGGAAGAAGAAAAGCTGGGAGTAGATGAACAGGAAAAGATAATTCAATACAGTAGTCAATATGGTAGACTAGAGATAAGTTAAGACACTAAGGGAAAAATGGGAGATGTGGCTCAGAGGCAAAGAGCTGGCTTAACATGAGCAAGCATGGGTTTCCTTCCTAACACCAAAGAAACAAAAAAAAGATGATCAGTAATTAGTCAGGGGCAACTCATTCTTTTTATTTGTGAGGACCTTACTTATATCCAATGTTGGAGTCACAAGGCAGGAACACTAACTAGAATTTTATGAGTCCACCAAATTAACAGCCAGTAGACAACTCTACTGTAAGGAAAACATTGCCATTGATCTTACTGTATGTTCTACCTTGTTATTTTCTCCCAGACTATTATCGAGTTATAACTGCAACCACAGGGCTCATTTCAGGCTATGCTCTAGTCTGAAACATCTGTATGTTCAACAATCTTAATTTATTGCACACGATCAGTTTTAAAACAATATGAATATAATTAAAAACAAGCTTTAAACAGATTACTTTCATGATATATATGTTTAATTATAAAATACTTTAAATGTGTAAATTTTTCTCACTGTGAACTGGGGATTCATTATTCCACATCTGAAAACCTACTGGCTTTATGTATTAAAGCCTCCACACTGCTAATTATTTACTAGTAAATATAGTTCAATCGCAGACACTCAGATTCCTTTAATTATCTATGGATTATTACAACTATTCTAAGTCCAACAAAATAAGAGATATCACTAAGAACATATTTTCCTGCCAATCTGTCTCTTCAGTGCTCCCTTCATCTCCTTATTCCTGAGGCTGTAGATGACGGGGTTCAGCATGGGGATCACTACAGTGTAGAGCACAGATATCACCTTGTTTTGGTCAGTGGAGAAGCTGGATTTGGGCATCACGTAGATGAATGTAATGGTCCCATAGTACAGAGTGACCGCAGTGAGGTGGGAGGTGCAGGTGGAGAAGGCCTTGTGGCGGCCCTCAGTGGAGCGCATCTTCAGGATGGTGATGAGGATATAGACGTAGGAGATGGCTATGATCATCACTGTGGACACAATGACAAAGCCAGATGACCATGAAGGGATGACTTCAGGAACACTGACATCCGTACAGGAGAGCTGGACCAAAGGAGCAAAATCACAGAAAAAATGATTGACTTTATTTGGTCCACAGAAGAGTAAAGAATAGAAGCAGCTAGTGAAAGAGCAACTATTGAGAAAACCACCTGCATAAGATACCATGAGTAACCGCACACAGACTCGTGTGGACATTTTGGTTGAATACAACAGTGGGTTGCAGATGGCCATGAAGCGATCATAGGCCATGGCAGCCAGAAGGAAGCATTCAGTTGATCCAAAGAAAACAACTGAACCAAGCTGGATGCCACAGCCAAGGTAGGAGATTGTATTTCTTTCCACCAGGAAGTTAATCAGCATGTTGGGTGTGACAGAGGATGAGAAACCTAAGTCTGCAAAAGCTAAATGGCTGAGGAAAAAGTACATGGGGTGGTGGAGCTGAGTGGAGACTCTGATGAGATGGATTGTGCACAGATTGCCAGATACAGTCACCAGGTAGATGCACAGGATGATGAGGAAGAGGATGACTCGAAGGACTGGATCATGAGTTAAGCCCAATAGAATGAACTCTGTCACTGTGGTGTGGTTCCCATCCACCAGGGAATCCATTAGACAATGGAGCTGCTGCCAGGACAAATCTGTGATGAATAGATTACATGAAAAAATTTATAATTGTGATGGGTTCATTTTCATTAACATTTTAGGAATATCATCATAAATAAAACTGTTCAAATATCATATGCAATTATTTGATTATAGTCTGTAATTTTGAAATTGATTTTTAGCAGAAACACCAGAAAATATGCTTCATATTAATTCATAACACATTTTCTTTGTATACCACATTTTCTGAAAATGCACCCACTACTATTTCAATGTCAAACAATAAATATACAAGACATATGAAAATAATCAAAATTAACACTCCATATACTAGCATCAAAAGACTATATAAAGGTTTTGCAAAGATGGTTTAATAGCAGTTAATGTTTGTTACAAGCTTCTTAAATGAATAGCATGTCATTAAGAATTATATGAATAAACAAATATATACGTAATTTGTTATGTAAGTAAAATGATATTAGTTATTTTCATTATTCATCATATGGATGACTAAATGAGCTCTGAAAAATATGTACATTATGCAAAATTATATGGCTAGTGATAAATTAGAAATGCAAATCCTTGGAAGTCTGACTGCCCATTCTCTTAGTGACTACATAATAATGAAGTTAAAGTATGTACTCAGCAATAAGAAAATTAGTCTTTTCATCATCTTGCAGCTAATGTGTAAAAGAGTCATTAAAGTTATATGTACTTCATGGTGTTGGTTATTTAAGTACGAACTTTTATATATGTTCAAATAAAATTGTTATGAGTCCTATAAACAAAGATGAATTTTTAATTAGGGTATAAATTTGTAACATAAAATTTTGTTTTACCAAGTGGCTTCAAATATCAATGTAATTACTTTGAATAAAACATTTGGCATTTAGATAAAAACTAAAGATCCATTCATGCAAATAAGTTAAATCACTATATACTGTAACAGGACTTTGAAGTGGAATTTTGTGGCTATTTTCAATAAAGCTATTTTTAACATTTTACACAGCTGTGCAAAGTCCATGCTGAAAACGTAAGGGTCACTGAATGGAAGGTCAGGTTGCTCTGAGCTACAAATTTTCTGAGTACCTCTACCATGGTTTTTCTAGGACTTGTCTTTTAACTAAAATATTCAACTGGGGGTTGGAAAAATTATGTTAAACAAAGTAAGTCAGACTCAGAGAGGCAGAGAGCACATTTTTTTTCTTATGGTGCAAGTTAGATCTAAATTATAAGCATATAGTCAAACATTTACAAGTCCATATGCAGATATTCACAAACAAGCTGACTAAAGTATGGTACACATAGGGGCGGATTCCAATGGTGTAACTCCTTTGAGCAGCTCGCAGTTTAACAAAGGGAGTACCAAAAACAAATACACATATTGTTAGGAATGTGGAGGTCCAGGGGAGAGAGGACAGATAGAAGGAGAGAGAAAGGGTGAGTAGATGCAGTCATAATCTTCAATGTACACATGTGAGAATGGAACCAGGTAACTTGGGAGGATGGATGAGACAATGGAGAATGATGAAAAGGGTAACATTCATTAGGGTGTATTATACTCACAAATTGACATGTTCATTTGAAACCCCTTTGTACATCTAACGATGGTATAAATAAATATAATACTTATCTGACTTACTTACCTCTTTACACTTCTAACTTTTAAAAACTTTAAATATTATCAAATGCTCAAATCAGCTTCCAGGTAAGATTTTGGCAGCATGCCAAACTGGTCTGAGTTGGTTGAAAGACCATATGAATTTCTTTCTTCTGGGTAGGTAACCCAAGAAGTCCAGTAACTCTACATTGGAATGACAGCTACCTATGTAAACTGATGGTAGAAACAACAAGTCTGAAAAAAATCATTCATTGCCTACTGGCTTGATTTCACCTACCCTGTTTCTGCCCATAACAAGTGAGCATAACTGATAGTTGTTAGAGGGAAGTTGTCTCAAATGATGAATGAAAACTCATGCATCTGATCCATTAGCAAAAGCCAGAGTCTTACCTCTTGAAATGAGAACCCATTCCTATTTCAATAACATATCTAGGTCATAGTTACAGTTATATAGATACATGTTGGGCTTAAAAAAGTTTCTTCTCCTTTGGGGATAAATCTCTGAAGATGCTAGAGATTCAGGTGTGAATTCAAAAGCATCACCGCACATCATTATGTATATACTAGCTATTGAGTTATGCGATTCACATACAAATAAACTAATAATTCAACTAAGAATTCGTATGTGCGTATATACATAAAAGAAATTATACATAAAATATATAAATATTAGTTCTGAGTTTAGTATTTAAGATTAAGAAATAGTACAAAGTTAAGGTATAATAAATAAGCTACTCTCTAGTGTTTCCATATGTGTTTAATGAGAAGTGTTTTTATTTGTATGTATAACATGCCATATGTACCATGGAGAACCATTTGACCCAACCTTCTTTCCTGTGGTTATCTGCCCAGAGGAAATGAACTGAGTACTTTATGGAATGTTTGCATTCCCACATTCATTTCAACATTATTCAGGGCAGCCAAGATTTGGAAATAACTTGTCTATCATGAGAGATGGGGTGGGACCACAGGGAGAGGGGTAGACAAATGATGAGGAAGAGTGGGAAGAATGCAGTCAAGAATTTAATGTATATGCCTCACAATTAAGAAAAGTAAGGAAAGCCTGGAGCTGGTGGTTCATGCTTCTAATCCTAGCTACTCAGGAGGCTGAGATCTGAAGGTTATGGTTGGAAGCCAGTTCAGGGCAAGAAAGGTCTTGTGACTCTTATCTCCAATTAACCACCTAAAAGCCAGAAGTGGAGTTGTGGATCAAAGTGGTAGAGCACTAGCTTTGAGCAAAGAAGTGTCCTTGGATAGCACCCGGGCCCTGAATTCAAGCTTCACGACTGACTAAAAAGAAACAACAACAACAACAAAAACAAACAAACAAAGGCAAGACAAAGGGCAAAGGGGGAACCAATGCAACAGTGATACCCACAAGACAATATGTTGGAAAGGATCTGTATAACTTGGCAGGGGTGAGGAAAAGTGGAAGAAAAATGAGGGAAGGGACAACAAGTTCAACAAGACATGTACTCACTACCTTACTTATGTAACTGTAACCCCTATGCATATCACCTTGACAATAAAAATAAAATTTAAATTTTAAAAAAGAAGAAAAGCAAGGAAGGGGTGGGTCAGGAGGAGTGGATGAGAATGCCAAAAGGGCTGATACTGGATAAGATGCATTGCATACGTAAACTGCTTTGTTAAATGACAACTCCTTTGTAAGACTATGACCTACATATATAAGGGAAGATTATTCACCTCACAAAGAAAGTTTCCCGCCATCTGTAACCATAGGGAAAGAATGAAAAGACATTATGCTATTTGAAATAACCTAGAAAGAAAGGTATTGCATGATCTCACTTCTCTGTGGGATTTTAAAAAGTCAAATACATAGAAACAGCGTAGTCCTGGCTATCGCCTGGTGACCAGAAGAGTAGAAATGTAAGTCAAAGAATAAGATGTTGCAGTAAACAAAATGAATGTCTAGTTTTCCCGTGTACAACATAAAGGCTATAGTTAATAATCCATATATTGGGAATTTGCTGGGTGGATTTTAAATGCTTCTATACTAAAAATGAGATAAATATGATAATTTCCTTGATTATATCCTGTGAACATATATATCAAGACATCACATTGTATACCTTAAACATATTATCTTTGAAAGTCTCTCAAATGAGAAACTTATTGTGAGTCAGAATGGCTTCCTCCCTTAAATTGAAGTTCTTTCCTAGGGCTAATTTGAAGATTTTCCTTTTTTTGTTATTTTTGTCTTTAATTTTCAAAAATTTAATATGGATAAACTTGCTTTTTTGTGGGGTAATGGTACTTAGGTTCAAGCTCAAGGCTTTATGATTGCTTGGCTGGCACTCTACCAGTAGAATAAACCTTTCAGCTCTGCTTTATTAATGGTTATTTTGGCGATGAGTCTTAAGGACTTTCCTTCCAAGGATGTCTCTGAACTGAGAATCTCTGGGTCTCAGACTCCTGAGTAGCTAGAATTACAATCCTGAGCTAGCCTCCCAGCTTTTTGTTTTAAAAAGGGATTTGTATAGCCACTTGACTCTGCAACTGTATCTCTTACACCAGAGTTGGGATGTTTATTTTTGCCATTTATTTATTTAGCCAGTCCTGGGACTTGAACTCAGGGACTGGGTGATGTCTCTGAGCCTTTTTGTACTCAAGGCTAGCACTCTACCATTTGAGCAGCAGTACCACTTCTGGCGTTTTCTGAGTAGTTTATTGGAGATAAAGAGTCTCATGGACTTTCCTGCCTGGTCTGATTTCAATTCGCATTCCTCAGATCTCAGCCTCCTGAGAAGCTAGGATTATAGGCATAAGCCATCGGTGCCTGGCTACCATTATCTCTTTCAATCCTATTCATTTCCCCTCCAATCTCTTTTTATAGAACACCTACAGATTTTTATTCCCCACAGGTAGGAATGGCTCTGTTCTTTTTCTTTTCCAGTCTATTTATTCTCCCCTTTTTATGTCAAGATGATGTACAGAGAGGTTACAGTTATATAAGGATGGTAATTAGTACATTTCTTGACAAACTTATTACCCCTTCCCTCATTTTTTCTCCTACTTTCCCACCTCCCATTCCCTCCCCCCAAGTTGTACAGATCATTTCCAACATCTTGTCTTGTGAATGTTGCTGTTGCATTGGCCACCCCCCTTGTCCTTTGTCTCACTATTCTGTTGTTCCCCTTCCCTTTCCTAATTCAGATATACGTATATACAATACCAGGGTACCAAAACTGAATATAGTGACAATAGTCCACAGCCATACCACCCTGGACATGCTCAATCTCATCTATTTACTTTTTGTTTAGATCAGATCAATTCTGTTTCTCTTCAGTCAAATCTTCTGAGCCTCCTCTCTGCAGCTCTGACTCCTAGGACTGCCCTCTAAGGTTGAGCCCACTCATCAAGG